ACAATTTATTATTTGTTGGTATTTAAATACGTAAAAGAATGTATGCATAGGTCATAAACATATGCATAAAGGTAGAAGTCAGAGGCGGCTCGTCGTATGAAGCAACTGAGGCCAGGCCTCACTGTAAAATTTATATCTCACTACGTAAATTTTAATTACTGCTATTCTACTATTAACCTAAATAAACAGTTAAACTAATTTCCAATTACCTACTGTCTACAAAATTAATGTTGTCAGTGAGAAGTTATTTGCAGAATAGGTGTTTCGTGGTTAGGCACAATGGGAATACTTCTGAAAAATATTTTGCTAATTCTGGAGTTCCACAAGGATCAAACTTGGGCCCCTTGTTATTTATATTACCAATGACCTGCCGTCGGTGGTGAATTTTTCACAATGTTTACAGTTTGTTGACGATTTTAAAATCTTCAAAAAAAATTTAATCGGATAATGATTGTGTGGAGCGGATATTGATAGCATTTACAAGTGGAGTTAAAATTTAATATAAAAAAATGTTCAGTAATAACAATCACCCGAAGGAGGGATCCCATTGTGTATGACTACAGGATGAGTAATGCATATTTAAGGAGGACAAATAATGTCAAAGATTTAGGGGTTACGTATGATTCATATTTCTCTTTTTCTGAGCATATAGAAAATATTTCAGCATCAGCTAATCATATGTTAGGGTTTATTATAAGACATCTGCTCTTGCTTCTGCTTTTGTAAACATTAAAACAATTACCACTTTTGTATTATGCATTTGTAAGGTCTAAACTTGAGTTTGCAACGATCATCTGGCACTCACAACCTCAAATATATCTGAACACCATAGATAAAATACAAAATAAATTTCTTAGATATCTATATTATAAAAAAATACCATACAAGACCTAATTATGAATATGTTAGATCAGCACATCTAAGAACTGAATTTAATATTACATCTTTGAGCATAAGGCGTGAAATAGCTATACTTATGTTTTTATACAAAGTTTTGAATAATCTAATGGATACACAAACTATTTTAGCTCTTGTACCATTTAATGTACCTTCGCGACAAACTAGGTGTTCATTAAACTTTAGGGTACCAATAGCATTTACCACCACCCAATCCCCTCTAGTAACCATCCTTCGACTAGCCAATAACATCGACTCTTTGATTGATTTAGAGTGGAGTATGCCACTCAATAAATTTAATAGAACTGTTTCTGCACATTTATTGTCCTTAGCTAATTAATACTTTTTAGCAGTCAGTACCTCCTTATGAGTAGTGTGTTTGTGTTTAGGATTACATTTTTGTAGTATCTTGTCATTTAGTCTGCATTTTATTAGTAATATTCTAATGTTATAATAATAATTATATATTACGTATTTTTATATCCTTGTAATTAGGCCACTAGGCCTATTAGGGTGTATCAATAAATTAAATTAAATTAAATTAAATTACATTTATCAAAAATAAAAATAATAAAATATTTGTTTCAATATCTCACCTATTCCATCTGCATGACATGATATACCTACTGTTACTACTCTAGTAAAATGTTTTTAATTATGCGAAAAATATTACTGGATTACCAAGTTAATGGGACAAAAGTTGGGTCAAAATAGAAATATTTTTGAGCTATAAAATGCTGTACTACGTAATTATAGATTGCATTTCCCTTCAATTAAGTACACGTTTCGGGAATTTACATGATTTAAATTTTCTTCTTTAGTATTTATTGAATATTTATTACAAAATGTATTCAAACGTTTTTAAAATAGATGGGTTGAAAAACAAGAGACGAACAATTTTTGTAATTTAAAGACCAAAAAAGGGTGGAAATATTATACAAAGAATTCAAAATTATATTTTTGGAAACACAAATTATTTTGCCTAGTTTTAACAACAAGTTTTAGTAGAAAGAAACTTTTCGTGTCTCAAGCGCATTAAGATTTACTTAAGAAATACGATGACATAAGAGAGCTTAAACAACTTATCTGTGATAGCGATAGAAATAGAATTATTGCAAAGTTTTGGTGCCAATCCCCAATTTCATGATGGCATTATAAGTAAACTTGCAAATTTAAAAAACCCACGAATAGTCCTGTTTTATAAAAAGTGAATGTTTTTAAAATATTTTGTTAAAAGTTAAGGCAAACTAAAAGCTGGCGGTGTTATTTTATACATAAATAGATAAGTTGGCTGGCTACCTCATGAAAATTTATTTTTATATTTTTTCATATTTTTTAATATACTTAAATCAGGTAGGAACAATTTGTTTTAATTATTAGGTAAATATATCATTTTGTTTTTTTCCTATTAATTTTATTATAAATGACATTTTTAAACTTCTGATGTTATTTAATTTTTTAATTTATGGTTATTTGAGAGCAGCTTAATAAATAACCAAATAGTTGCATAAATATTTCCATTATTTATAAAATCTGAATGAAAATACTTCTTGTGAATTTCGATAATATTGTAAATGAAACTAAAAATTTCTAGATTCATTTAGACATTTGTCCTTGAAAATTTTAAAAATTTTAGCCATCTATTGACAATGTCACGAGCCGCCAATCACACACACATACATATCACATATTATTTCGTCTACAAAAAACCAATGTTCGTTTAAATACATAGAGTCATAATTAAAATCTCTACACACAATAATTCGATTACATCAATTTTATGTCAAAGACTGAATACTCAAATAACAAGGTCTATGAATACAGGGTATTAGAAGTTTGACTGCTTTAATTTTAACAGTCAGTCAATCGCATGTCAATCACATTTTTGTATAAGCTACTGCACAACACCATTGACTGTGCTGATTTGCTTGCTGCTATTAATTTTTCCGTGCCTAGAATAAATCTAAGAAATACTAATACGTTTAGACTTGCAACGCCAAATACATCTTATAATATCTTATCTATTAACATCTTATATAAATCGCCAGTTTGTCATGTGTGATAATTTTAATCATTTGTGTAATTCTTGTGATATATTTTTTTGTCCATTACATACTTTATTGAATGCCGTAAGGTGATGAATACTATGTCTTCTGTATGTAAATATGTAATACTGTAATGCAAATGCACTTCTATAGGCATATGTCTGCTTATGTGTTTTGCATTTTTTTTCCCTTTTCTTCTCTTTTTTCTCATGGTTTTTGTTTATGTTTACTTAGTTGTATTATTTTGTAAATTGCCCTGTAAATGGGAATCTGTTGGGAATGGGAATTATTATTATTATTATAACAGATGATATAATACATTAAAATAAACAAAACAACCTTATATGACATGGATCCTAAACTCAACCATTTCTGAGAAAAAAATTATCAAAATCTACGACTTGATGTACAAAAGTTCGATTAATTAAGGAATATTTACATAACTGCGTGCATAGAATACTTTAAAATACAATGTTTATCACTTTTATGAAGTTATTTACGCTTAATTCTAGAAATTAATTAGCGTTGTAATAAATTTAAAATTCAATAAAAATCATATCGAGCAATGTGACAACGGCGCGGCAGATAACACGAGGTACTAAGCTGTCCAGCAATACGCAATTCAGTTGGTATCTGGAATTGGATTGTATCTGAGTGTTTTTTGCATACTATTTCCTTTTCTTGAGGTGTTTTCCAGAGTGCACGAAAATTGGATTCGAAGGTGTTGTGCGTGCATCGAAAATGGTGGTGGACATTTTGAGCATACATATGTTGTAGTTTGTTTTGTACTTGTGCGTTTAAAAATTACTGAAATTAGCTTTTTGGTAAGTACCTAAATTATTTTTAATACGTATGATTATTTGGGCGACGTGAATCTGTGGGTACTTTAATTACATATTTTTCAAATTCATAATTTGATTAAAAATTAAGTTCCTGTTTTAAGAGATTCATAATTACTAAAATTCCAGCCAAAATTTAAGCACATTATCTTCGTATTACAAAATAGATACATTTTATTTTATTTATTTAAAAACTGGAGAACAAATTGTCTTGAAATTGACTAAATGTTTCACAATAATAGTTGTTTAAATTTTTTCCAAAGGACAAGTCTGCCGCGTGCACATGTGGTATGCACCAACTATGTAGCGTTAGGTTAAGCCCTGTTGTCACATTGTGATGAAACTCCCCAATATTAATACTCGCTGTATTTTTCATTTATGATTACCCTGTATATTCTTCTTCTTAATTTGAAAGTTTGAATATATTCCTCTGGTATTAATTCTAGCATTATCCAAAAAGCAGTGCCCTTTCGTGAAATTAAAACAAACAGTAAGACTGAGGCTGCATGGTGTTATTTATCTGTTTAAGTTTCCAGCTGAGTGCCAGTGCTTGTCATAAGCGTACAAGTTATTGTTTCCACATTTGTTATTTTAATAATTGTTAAAATTCGAATCAAGTACAAGTGTTATGGGTCAATCTGATGATCAGAGTAGCCGTAAATGCCCGAATTTAGCAGATCGAAAACATTGCATGATAAATAATGTCTATAGGGGAATTCAAACGCACACCCAAACATACTGAAACAAATNAACAACTTACGTGAGTTTTTGGTACTATCATAGAACCGTAATTCAAAATTTTCCTCAAGTCCTCGTAACTGTTGCATTCGACATTAGAACAGCACTGCAATTTGAAATGATCGTCATCTATCGACTCCAATATTTCAATCAATCTATTAACATCATCGGAAGTGCAAACTGTTTTATCAATGATTACTTGCGCTCTAGCCTTTAGTATTAACATCGAACCGAGATGGTGCTTTTCTGCAAACTTTTCCGCCTCATCGAACCTCTGCTTTCTCAGAAGTCTAGTTAGTCTCAGTTCTGGTTCGGTTTCGTAGACGCACTGAACTCTCAGTTCGGATATTAACCCGTCACCGTTACATATTTTAGACAATATTAAAGTTTCGTCGCTAACATTCTCTAGTTGGATGAGGTGCACCGGGTTTGATATTTTTAAAGAAAATATCACGGAGAAATCTAAAAAGGCCCACTAAACTACATAGAGCATATAAAAACGTTGATTTTATACGAACCTGAATTGAGCAATTGTAAATGTGACTCTCCTAGCTCATTTTTCTTTGTGACCGCCACGATTTGTTTCTTACCATTATTATCGTTTACCATTAACATATCGTTAAAAAGAGTTTCTACATTTTCCACAGGAAAAATTAATAACGTTAAACTACAGATCCTAAGGAGATGTCCGTCTTCATCTAATGCCAAAATTTTACTAAAATAATGTCAGTATATAACACTGGAAACAAATAGAATGTTTTACTTACTGCCCAAAGCTGCATGCTGTTTTTAAGTTATAGATAACATCCGACGTGACTATACCATTTTCTACATTGAAAATATTCATTTCTTTCGTTTTTGCAAATAGAATAGGATATGAAAAACAAGTCGTATATATTGCGTTACTGAAATCATAAATCTCTTCCCAGTTCACAGTGGTGCTAATATTCGATTCATTATCATCGGTATTAGTTTTTAAAGTAAGATTCACTCTGAAAAGTATATAAATTCACCAAATTGTCTATTTCTAATAAAAATATATTTACATACCTAAATATTTTGCCTCTATTAGAAACTATTATGAAGGTAATAAAATTACTAGTTAAATATTCCAAATAACTAGCTCTATATAAAATATCCGTCCCCTCGTTATTTATAAAACGTCTTAAAATGAAGTAACATCAAATATAAATTTTATTTTTTTATACTACTTACTTGCTAAAGATACAATTATTATCTATCTCAGCTTCCATGTCAAATATATGTACCATTCCACTTTGAAGACAAATGACCAAGAATTTGCCATTAGGTGAAATACAAATGGTATCAATAATTGAGTCGAAAACTGCATTGAAAATTATTGTAGAAAATTCTGTATTTTCAAAAACTTTTATGGACTTGTTTACGGTCAAAAAAACTTTACCGGTTTGAACTACAGAATTAATATGAACTTCTTCCACTGCCTAAAATCATTAAAAAGTTATAATCCCGGATGATTTTTAAAAGGGAACAAATAAGAAATTACTCAAATGTAAAATATTTATAGCTACTTCAGTGTAATTATTTTTTCTTTTTAACATGAACAAATACTTACAGTAGTTTCTTCTGAACATTTTAGACAAGCTCTGGTAGAAATTTCATATAAGCTATCATATCCTATTGATCTAGTACCAAAATTTACAGTTTCATCTGCGTTGTTAAATCCAGCTTCGATTATACCAAAATCTTCCATTTTAGAAATTTTCTTTCAGATTCTGTTGATGCAATACGATAGATATTAATTATTGGAATTAAAAATTTTTACAATTTTTTTAACAGCGACTTACTAAAGCACTCAATCAACAAGTCAACAAAATTATTAAATTAACGTATTTCTTTCAAATTTATTAAATCTGCTTCTACTTCTTCTTCTTTATTGTTTGGCTTAACACCTTCGTGTATTTGGCCAGCCTCCCATTTTTTTCCTAAGGTGTTCTTACGACTCGTCTGCAGTTTTCCACATTTTCTAAGGGCGATTTTTTTTCTGTTTTTTAGCCAATTCTTAAATTTGTTTACTTTGACACTGACAGTTGAC